TGATTTAAAATTACAGCCAAAATGAGGTTTTATGTTACCAGAGCATTTCAAAGAACACCACCCGGGTCTCACATTACCTCAGATAATACTGGAATCTTGAGCTGACTGAGCTGGGAGGGTGAGGAAGGCCCCAGCACATACTCTGAAAGATGACCATTCCACACCTTCTGTCCATCCTCCTTCGGTAACACAAAGGAAAACTTAGTAATGACCTGACTTGGTTTCATTTCGTTTTGTTTCATTCCATTCCACATGGTTAGATCCCGGCAGGGGCTTGCCATGGAAGGAGAGTTTGAAACTGAACATACTGAGATAAGATCGGTAAGGAAGCCGGCTCCCAGATGACTTGGGCATCAATACCCAAGTGAATACAGTCGGCAAACCAACGAGAAGAGCTGTGTCACAAAACTTAAACCTTTCAGAGAAAGGATATTTTTAGGCCTGGAGGGGTATACTGTTAGATCTAGGCCACTCTGATGCTATCTTTAATACAGTGAGAGACCCAAAGTAAAATGCCTTTAGGTCCAAAAGCAATCACAACTCACCTCTGCTGTGGGAGTTATTTCTAGCTTTTCTTCTGAGCTTGCATATTTTGAGCATGCCGCCCTCCTGACAATTTTAAATCCTGGATTGTGAGGATTCTTCTTTCATTACCCAAAATCCTAAATTACCTTTCCTGCAGTAAATTATTAATGGAATGTTACTAGTAGTACATCTTCCACTCTTCAATATATATATATATATATATATATATATATATATATATATATATATATATATCCTATTTATTTTTTACAGAGAGGAAGGGAGAAGGACAGAGAGTTAGAAACATCAATGAGAGAGAAACATCGACCAGCTGCCTCCTGCACACCCCCTACCAGGGATGTGCCCGCAACCAAGGTACATGCCCTTGACCAGAATCATCGAACCTGGGACCTTTCAGTCTGCAGGCTAATGCTCTACCACTGAGCCAAACCAGTTTCGGCACATCTTCCACTCTTATAGAAGCAGCCTGTTAGTGGGGAAAGGAACTCTAGAAACAATCCTGCAAAGCCCTGAGGCTCAGAGAAGTGACTTAAATAACTGGAAGAATACATGCTATCTTTAATACAGTGAGAGACCCAAGGTAAAATGTCTTTAGGTCCAAAAGCAATCACAACTCAACTCTGCTGTGGGAATTATTTCTAGCTTTTCTATACACACACTAAGAGCTTCACCTATATTGCCCTCCCAATATTTAATCTCCCAATAGCCCTATAATTTAAGTACAATACTATCTCCACTCTAAAAATGAGAAATCTGAGCACAAGGTTAAGTTATATGCCTAACATGGCATAGCTGCTAACAGGTAGAGCTGGGAATACAACCCAGGAGCTGTGTCTGGCCACGCTCTGAATTACCCAACCTCCAGGATTAAAACCCAGGACTCTTGACCCCACCGAAGGTTCACTCCATTATAAATCATTTTAAGGCTCACAAAAGAATAAACCACATTTGAAAAGGCCTGCAAACCATGTTAGGAAGGAAGGAAGGAAGGAAGGAAGGAAGGAAGGAAGGAAGGAAGGAAGGAAGGAAGGAAAGAAGGAAGGAAAGAAAAGAAAAGAAAAGAAAAGAAAAGAAAAGAAAAGAAAAGAAAAGAAAAGAAAGAAAGAAAGAAAGAGAACAGCTGAAAACAAGTGTGCCAAATCTTTTTTTAAAATACATTTTTATTGATTTCAGAGAGGAAGGGAGAGAGAGAAGCATCAATGTTGAGAATCATTGATCACCCGCTTCTGCCCACCCCATACTGCAGATTGAGCCCACAATCCGAGTATGTGTCCTAACCAGGAATCGAACCATGGCCTCCTGGTTCATAGGTCTATGCTCAACCACTGACCCAGCTGCCAAATCTTGGTAATTATTGAATCTGGGTGACGGAACATGAGGGTTCATTATACTATTCTCACCACTTTTTATTTTCAAATAAGTTCATGTAAAACCATTTTTAAAGGTTCACAACCTAAACATATAAAAAATAAGCAATGAGGCAATGAAAATTTTATGAGCACATCTCACTTTTACATTTTAAAGTCTGTTTGTTAAAAGGCAGCCCTTATAACCCACTGAGCTATTTGATTTTGTTGTTTCTGAACTCACTACCGGCCACTTATCAATACTAGAAGCATGGGAAGAGCTAGGTAAATCAATATCCTGTTGGTTTTTCCTTTTAGTCCATCTGCAAAACTGCTTTATTAGTCAGCTAGTTAAGAATATTTAATGAGTGATTATTATGCTGGAATCATTGTATTAGCGCTGACACAAGACAGAGCAGAGTAATATTTCCATCCAGCATAGATCAATGGACCACAGGATTCCAAAGCCTGGCTCGGCTGTGTCCTGCTTCCTGCATGGATCAGAGTTACTGTCTTAGATCCTTCTAGAGCATAGCTGAGCCAGAACCTGTGCGGCAGATGCACCAGCTGTGGCTTCCTGGCAGACACTGGGGAGTAGCAAGAGGGAGACAGAGTACCTGCAGTGGGGGAAGGGAAGTGAGGTTTAAGGTAATTTTTAGTATCATTAAGCTACCCTAAATTCCTCCTTCTGCAATGCAGAACCATTGCAATTCATTTCCCTTTCAGGGGGAGTCTTTATTATTATTATTATTATTATTATTATTATTATTATTAAGGTATTATATGTGTACATATCTTACCATTGCCCTCCCCCCTCTCCCATACATATCCTTCCTCCCCAGAGTTTTGCGTCCATTGGTTATGCTTATATGCATGCATACAAGTCCTTCGGTTGATCTCTTATCTCCCTCAGATCTCCTTACCCTCCCCACTGTAATTTGACAGTCTGTTTGTTGCTTTACTGTCTCTGTATCTATCTTTTTGTTCATCAGTTTATAATGTTCTATATTATTCATAAATGAGTGAGAACATGTGGTGTTTTTCTTTTCATTGACTGGCTTATTTCACTCAGCATGATGTTCTCCAGTTCCATCCAGGTTGCTGCAAATTCCCTTTCAGGGGGAGTCTTGCACTCACCAGAATAGGCCCACCAACTTTTCTGCATTTTTACATTTGTTTCATCAGACCAGTGATCACAGATAAACAACCCTAGGGATTGAGACAACAGCCAAGCTTCTGGCTGTTCATGCCTGAGGGTATCCAGGGAAAACATATATTATTAAAAGTGTCATAAAGTAACATAGTAGAAGTATGTCACACACAGGTATGAGCAACTAAGTCACTATCAGTAGGTCATCCTTCAAAAGCAAGATCAGATATTCAAGGACTGTCGGACATCAATAATTAGCAGTGTTGTATCTCTGTTGGCACTTCTGTGCTCAGCCTAATGGCTTATTAAACTAACACGCCTCTTCAGTCCTGGCCTCCAGCACTTTGAAAATTACGGCACAGTCATGTTTTATTTACTCTTCTCTTGCCTCGGGTCCCTGATGAGGACAGTAGCCCCAGTTTAAAGAACTAAGTCTCGTGTGAAAACAGAAAAGGTGCCACAGATGTTTGTGGGCTTTATCCTTAACATATACATGTGGCTGACGTTGAGAAGACGCAGACACCCTACTTAAAAGCCAGAGCAACATAAATTAGTTCGGACTATGGATGAGATGCCAGGTTATGGTCTTTTGCCAACTCCTGCTCCGCTCCTTACCATCAGCAGATCAACTTCAGTAAAACATTAAAAAAACAACAACAAAAAAAAACCCTGTTTATTATGGAACAAATTGGGAGTTTGCAGAATCTGGAGTGAGTTGGCAGCACTGGCAATTGAGAGAAAAATCAAACCAAGCATGCTGAATTTGGATATCAGCGGAACTTCATCTCCAATCTCCACAAACTTCATCCATGCCATCCTGTGTCTGCCCAGGAAAGTGATCTATCTGCCATCAAAAAGATGCCTCAGCCCCTGTGTTCAGGAACCTGGCACTTCATCCTGACAATACACACACACACACACACACACACACACACACACACACACGGTGCCACTAAGTCCAGAGAATCACTTCCAAGGCCCATCTTCTTGCATTGTTCTGACACACACAAGTGACCCGCCCACAAACAAGCCCCTTTCAAGAAAACAAACAAAAGTGACAAGGCAAGGTGCTACTAAAGGTTCCCAGCTGCCCCGGAGAGCACATTGCTGCTCAAACGTCGTAGCTCCTCTCCGGAACCGTGCAAGTGATCAGGCACACTGCGTTTCCAGATACAGCAGGACCAGCCCTGCCTGTGGAAGTTGATCTAAAACTTCATCCCCCTCACATCCACAGGCCTGTTTTCTAAAGACCTTCTGCTACAACCAGATTAAAATCTCTCGGAGCTGCTTGCCTCGCTTGCTTCCAATCCCCTAACTTCGTAGTCATTTACACGAAACTGAAATTACCAAGGGTTCCCATCACGCGCCCTACCCCTTCCTAAGAAGAGGCCAAACATCAGGATCCCGGCTAGAAGAAGGGGATGGAGGAAAGGATGAAGCACCCCTTTCCCTACTGGAGTTCGGCCCATCCAAAGGGTCCGCAGGGCCATCTCCAACCCTGGGTTGCGGACTGGGAAAGAAAGCCCCCATCTCCACGGCCCTGCGTCCCTCCAGGCTGCAGGTGCCAAGGAGAAAGTGGGCTGTGGGAGGGCTTGGGGGCTGCGGGAAGAGAGTGATTTCCCCGGTGACAGAGGAGGTAAACTGGAGAGGGGGGGGGGGAGGGAGGCTGTGGAGAGGGGAGTGGCGATCTCACCCCCAGAGAAGGGACAGCAGTGGGAAAGGACCCCCGGACACAGGGTGGGGTCTGGAAGTTACCGCCCCTCCAGTAACTCCAGTTACTGTCCCTTCTCCCCTGTCCAAGGCCCCCGCCCCCCTTTCCCACCACGTCTCACATCTTCATCTCTCAGACCCAGCAGGGTCGGCTCCTCCACCTGGGCCGGACCAACCAAGAGGAGCGTGGACGGGATCGCCGCCCGCCCCCCTCCCCGGACCCCCCGATGCCCTCGCCCCGCACTCACCAGCACCACCGAGCCGCGCACCACCTCCGACACGCTCTGCCGCAGCTCGGCCGCCGTGCCCGGCTTGCTCAGCGCCCGGGTGAACTTCCGAGTCTCCGCCGAGGCGGGGAGCAGCGACTGCTGCGACATCCTCGCCGCCGCCGCGCCGCCTCCCGGGGTCCGGCCGGGCCGCGCCGCCGCCAGGTGCGCCCGGGGCGCCCCGCCCGCCCGTCCGCCCGAGGCTCCCAGCGCCGCTGCCGCCTCCCCCGCCGCCGCCGCGCGTCCCGGGGCGCAGCCCTGGCCGCGCCCTCCGAGCCCCGTCACGCTCCGAGGCGCCCCCCTCGGCGGCGTCCGCAGCCCCCCGCGTCCGCAGCGGCGCCCGAGCTGGCGAGGGGTGACCGTGCCTGTGGCCGCGGCGGCTGCGGCTCCCCCATGCCACCGGCCTCCCTCCGCGGCCGCTCGCCGGGCCGCCTCCTCGGGGCGGGGTGTCCGGCGCGGCGCGGGGCGGGGCGCGCGGAGGAGGGGCCGGCGCGTCGGTCGGGTCGGGCGGGCCCCGCAGGGCAGTGCAGCCCGCAAGGCACGGCGCGGCGGGGAGCGAGGCTGCCCGACTCAGGGAGCGAGCTCTGCGGGGCCCCTGGCGAGACAGGTGGGGACCTCACCTCGGGGGGGGGGGGGGAGCGCCTCCTTTTGGGTCCGATGCTCCCCCAAGCCGCACGCCCGACTGCCCAAGGCAAGGGCCGCACGCGCTGGAGGAAGGCGAAGACTCGGGAGCTGGCGCCTGCACCCTGGGACTCTGGGATCCCTGCAGGTGGAGTCCCCCCCTTCCCCCTCTCATCCCCAGCATCCTGGGGACTCCAGTCACCCTCAGGGTCCAGTTGGGGGGGGAGGGGGCACCACGCCCCCCTGTGCGCTTAGGGTTTGGGGGCTCCGAAGTTGCAGGAAAGTGGCCTTTCTGCAGCACCAAGGGAACACTGGGCCGTCCAAAGCCGTGGTGGTGGGGAGCCGGACGGAGCACCGCAGCCACCCCTGGTGGCACTCTTTGGCTTCTAAATACACCATTTCACCTCCGAGGCGAGGAGCCAACTGTGGGAAGCCTGGGCGCCCGAGGAGCATCCCGGGATGAGGACGCCGTAGGCCGGGACCATGGCTACCCAGCCACGCAGACCTCCGCCTGCTCCCCGCCTGCTGCGTCACCTTGGACGGGATCAGAACTTCTGAAGCTCTCACATGTCTTCCATGCACGGAGGACAATAATCTGCAAGAGGCTTAAAGGACACCCTACGCCTGTCTGCCGCCCCTCCGCGGCCTGGCCAGGCTGCAAAGCGCGGGGCCCAGGAAACCCTGACGCGCAAGGGTCTGCGAACCCAACGTGACCCAAGAGCTGGCGGCTGCTAGCGACAGCTCCCACTCTGGGGAACTTCTTCACGTGGCCTTTGCCGCTTTTCCATCCTAAAAGGCACCCACCGCCTAGCCTCCTTTTACCCTTTTTTTTTTTTTTTTTTTTTTTTTGAGGATACTCTCGGCAGGATAACCCTGACCCCGCCGCGGAGGAGGGAGAATTTGCGCAGGGCCCTAAGCGCATGCTCAGTGGATTGGGTTTGGGTTTGGGTTTGGGCGGATCCCGGGGCGGGGAACCCTTTTAAGAGTGGCTCTGATGATTGGCCAGTCTGCGCAGGCCACGCCCACACCCTGCTGATGGACAGCTCTTTACCTGCCAGATGGGCTTACGGGTCGCGCGCTGTAGCAGCTCGCCCCCCGGCGTTCTGGGGAATCCTGGCAGCTCCTCCAGGCCAAGTGTCGGGGCCCTCGGAGCCACTGCTCCTGCCGGGAAGGAGGCCCTACTGCGTCCCACCCGACCAGAAAATCAAACACTGACCTAAAGGGGAATCTTTTTTTTTTTTTAAATCAATCTTTATTGTTCATATTATTACAAAGGTTCCTCATTTCTTCCCCCCTCCACCAGGTTCCCACCCCACCCTCTGCCCCCTCCCCATCCCCCATTGTCCTCATCCATAGGTGCAGTTTATGTTCAGTCTCTTCCTCCCTCCCTTTCCCCGATAGTAAATCCCTAAAGGGGAATCTTAAAGTGGGGGAGAAAACTACCAATCCAATCCTTGAAACAAAAACAATACCATTCAGGACTTAATGGGCAGGTCTGGCACATAATAAGACTGGAAGTCAGGGCATGCAATCAGCACTCAATAAATGCTTGCTGGATTAGATTGTTTTTCCTAGTGGATTGGAACAGCAGGATGTGGCACTGAGTGAGCCTGGCAGATAAACAAAACAATTAATGTGTGGATAATAAAAACAATCACACAGTAACCTATTTCCTCTACGAAAGCAGGGAATGGCCTAGAACAGGAGTGGGGAACCATTTTTCTGCCAAGGACCATTTGGATATTCATAACATCATTCACAAGCCATACAAAATTATCAACTTACAAATTAGCCTGCTATATTTGGGAGGGTGGGGGGGAGTGTTGTTTTTTAATTATTATTTTTTGCAATCTATTTAAACATTAATATTTCAAGAAAAAGCCTGTTATATCTGATCAATCATTGAATTAAATCATCCCTTATGCCTTGGCAGGGCCAGACCAAATGATTTTGTGGACCTTATATAGCCCTCAGGCCCAACGCCCCCCCCCCCCACCGACCCCTGGTTCCCAGGCCTCTCTGTTCCAAGAGTAGACTGGGTGACCCCAATAGTATAGGGAAGTACATGCCAGCCCCACCCTGCCTTTCATGGGGCCCCTATGCTGTTTTATATGACCATCCACAACCCAACTTTACACCTCTGAGCTACACTGATGTACGTTAGCTCACTTCTTACCAGAACTGCCAGAAGCTAGTCTGAGAATTCTAAGTTAAGATTTCCTTTTGAGTTTCTGACTTCTGAAGAAGTCCCAAACAGCACAAACCTTTATCCACTATGTTAATTCAGGTCACTAATCAGTATCTACTTCCATAGAACATATATATATATTAAAAACAACAAGGTTGTATGTTTACTTTTTTGTTTTTAAATTTTAGCTATTATGGTTTAATTTGTTTTTAATTTTTTTATTTACTGATTTTAGAGATATAGAAACACTGATTTGTTTTTTCACTTATTCATGCATTCATTGGTTGTTTCTTATATGTGCTCTGACCAGGATCAGAACCATAGCTTTGATGGATCCTGATCACACTTACCTGATCAGGGCCTTTCCCTTTGTTTTGTTTTGCTTTGCTTTGTTTTGTTCTGTTTTGTTTTGTTTTGTTTTGTTTTGTTAGGAAAAGAGCACAAGTAAGTGGAAAGTGAAGAGCTCCCCAACCTTCTTTTTCTTTTTTTAATTTATTTCAGAGAGAAGGGAGAGAGAGAAACATCAATGATGAGAGAGAATCATTGATCAGCTCCAACCTTCTAATTTCGTCCTCATCTCTACCAGCTCTAAATTTTGTGCGTGCTACCTGACTGATTATATTCTAGAATTGGCAGATTTTCATTTAGAAAGCAGGGGATGGCATTCAAAGTGCTGGCAGGAGTCACTGGCAGTGTCTAACCAAATTCAAGCTCTTATAGTCAAAGAAGGAGACATGGAAATGTAAACTAAGCCCAGAAAGACTGATTTTTCCAGCAACCTGGAGTTGAGACCCTCCTTCCTGGTAAAAGTGTGCTGTTAACAAATAGAACATTTCTCATGTTTAAGTTTCAACAGAAACTTGGTCCTACTGTTATAGGTTGAATTATATCCCCTCAAAATATATATTGAAGTCCTAATCTTGGTACCTGTGAATAGGATCTTATTTGAAAACTAGAGGCCCAATGCGCAAAAATTTGTGCAAGAGTAGGCCTTCCTTTCCCCGGCTGCAGTCACTGGCTTCCTTCTGGCACTCTGGACCCGGGCTTCCCTTGCAGCCCTGGCTTCGTCCAGTCTAATTAGCATATTATGTTTTTATTATTATAGATAAGGTCTTTATAGATGCCAAGTTAAAATGAGTTTATACTGGACCAATATAACTGATGTCCTTATGAGAAGAGACACAGACATAGACACACAGGGAGAAGGCCATGGGATAACAAAGGCAGAGATTGGTATGATGATGCATCTACAAGTCAAGGAACATCAAGGATTGCTGGCAAACACCAGAAGCTGAATCAAAAGATTCTCCCCTTGAGCCTTTGGAGAAAGTATGGCTTGTGCTGACACTTGATTCTGAACTGTAAGAGAATAAACTGTTGTTCTAAGTCAACCAGTTTGTGGTACTTGATTACCGCAACCTTTGGAAACCAATACACTTACCAAAGACTATTTTTTTTTAAATCCCCAACTAGAATTGAGGGAGTTCTTATTTCAGAGAGATGCAGTCTTTACAGAAGGAGCAACAGCTCCAGGCACAGGTGCTTAGTAAAATAGGAATGAATGGTGTGTAAGGTGTGTTCTAAGATACACCCCTCCACTTTAGCTTGAGGAGTAATCCAGTCTTGGTTTTCCCAAAACTATAACAAGGAAGTGTTCCTTTAGTTGAGGATGAAACTAGTAGGAAGTGGAGATGAGATAGCCTGTTTTGAAAATTTGCATATAAACGACTGTACTATGCTCAAATATTTGTAATTCAAATATTATGTATGTTTAAATAGCCACCTATGCCATTGTTTTTCTGTTAGGGTTGCTACAGGATTTATATGTGTCTTAATGATACATAATTAGTATAAAATCTTTTCCAGGCATATCTTGAAAGAGCACATCTGTTTTTGCATAAATAAAAAGTAACCTATAAAGATTAATCAGGCCTACGGATTGTAGCACCCAAGGAAGTGCAGAGGAGGTTTTCATTCTTTATTTTATCCTTACATTAATTGCAATTTAAAAATAAGCATCTGTTAATTTTATACCTCATTTTTCCTATGAAAGTTAAACCTATAAAAAAGATGAAGTTTGTTGTATATAAGGCATTAGTAGAGAAAAAAATTTATAATAATAAAATTCTGAAGTCCTTACAAGCTAATGGTAAATAGACTTGGGGTTTTTATTGTGGTAAAATACATGTAATGTAAGGTTTACTATTTTAACCGTTTTTAAGTGTACATTTCAGTGGCATTAAGTACATTCATATTGTTGTACAACCATTATTAACATACATCTCCAGAATTTTTTTCATCA